ACAACCTTAGTCAGAAGTAGTCTGACTAGATCTGAGATGGACCAGTGATCTAATTCAAGAGCAAGCAGAGAGCATTCAATGACTATAGTTAGATGACATTTAAAATGGACTGGTAGTCAGGTTTGGGGTCAGGCAGGCCATTCTAACATCTTCCATGTTAATTGCTAAGTGGTAATGGATTCCTTGGCTTAACCCACCAGGAGCCTGACCATTACATGTCTATAGGCTGTCTTGTGATCAGCAGTGGTTCACGGACCAACTGGTAGGAAGTATGGGCAGGAGAGTAGCTCCAGTGCAGGCTAAATGAGGGCACTGTCTCTCACCATGGAATTTTCCCTTAGTCCTCCAACTTCTAGTGTTCCAGAGAGTTAAACATTAAAAATGGCTCACACCCAGGACTCTAATTTACTGTATTTGCATTCCTTTGGTCATTTCGTCTGTCCCTTTTCTTTGGAGGCTTATTTCTTTTCTTTTTTTATTGAACATATCTTGACATAAAAAATATAGCATTTACAAAAGGTATTTTACAAAAGGTAGGAAATTAGCTTTCCCAGTCATACTGTACTCTATACCATTTGTTTTCCTTAACTTAGAGCCTCTGCAGACCGGCCCAAAGGGCTGGCTTGGAGGTAGAGTTGGGGGCAGGGCAGCCACACGCCAGCTGCCCCAACCCCACGCCAATGCCGTCCTGACACCACATGCCATTATGCATGGCATGCGGTGTCAGGACGCCCTTCCAGCACAATGTTCAAACACACTGTGCTGAAAGGGAGCTGAAGAGCTATGGCGCCGGCTCTTAGAGTAGCCTTTTGCTGCCCCTAAAAGAAGCAGCAAAATGGAGGATCGGGGCCGCGGCGTGGGGTTGCCACAGCCCTGATCCGCCATTTCCCAGAGTGGCTCTGTGCCACCCCAAATGGCTGATTTGCATTGGCCCTTCATTAATGAATGAACCTTCCTTCAGCCATTCATATACTTGCAACATTCATTCCATCATTCATATGCTCATTTCACCATTGACTTCCTAATTTTACTTCACTAAGCTAGCCATGTTTCTATTTTTATTTTTATTTTTTGTATTCTCTTGCTAATAATAATATTTGGAGGCTAATTTCTAAATGTCCAACTTAAGTTTTAAGTTACTGCAATGCTAGAATATTGGGGACTGAAGGGAAATCTAATTGGGTGAGCAGAATTCTTATTTGGGGTAGCACTACACTCATTTTGCACACATACACACTTTATCCCATTGCTATGGTCACCAATGTGGATTTTTTCTAATCCTTATCCCACCAATTGTGTTGGTTACATGTGAGCAGTCCCACCAAGGCCACCAACTATGAGAATTCCTCTGAGGCAATTGTCACTGTGGCCAAATATAAGGGTTTCTACATTTGAGCCCACCAACTGTGAAGACTTCCATGATGCTCACTGCAATTACCAAGAGTGGGGGCTTTCCCTGATCCCCACTTCTGTGGCACCAACTTTGGAGAACATCTAAATGCCTTAGAGTGCCTATGAGGATTTATGCAACTTCTATCCTCAATGGATACCACTCCTCTGCATTTTTTTATTTATTTCAAGGATTTATATCCCACCTGTCAGTTCTGCCACCACAAACACCTTGTTGAATCCAAGATCTATGGATGTTATCACACGGGGAGTCACGGGGATAAAGTGGAAATAAACGGGCATGAGGGGAAGTCTTTAATTTACGGGATTTGTCCCGTTCCGCCTCGTCTGATAACTAAATTCGAATTTAAAGGGGGGTTAATTCGAACGCAAACCTGATCTTTTCATTTTTGGGATTTTTGAGAATTTGAAAAGATCAGATTTTTGTTCAAATTAACCCCCTTTTAAATTTAAATTTAGTTATCAGACGAGGCGGAATGGGACAAATCCCGTAAATTAAAGTCTTCCGCTCGTCCGGTTTATTTCCACTTTCTCCCCGCAACTCCCCGTGTGATAACGTCCTAAGATAGATTGCAATTCCAGAGGCCAAAAGTGTATACAAATAAAAACAAATCTTTATTTACAGAATTTATTTGTTTATTTAGTATATTTATTTACATAATACAGTAGTTTATTTATTTATCACAAACACCACGCACACCCTCACCTCTTAAGCTAACTCAAACCCTTACCAGTAGAATTCAAAGATATAGCTGTGTTAGTATGTAGAATCAGTATGTAGAGAGAATTTGTAGCACCTTTGAGACTAACAGAAAAAGTTGGCATGAGCTTTCATAGACTTCAGTCTCACTCAAGTCAAACTCCCTTCTCTCAATCCAACCTGAACCTTACTCAAACCCTTTTATGCCTGCACTCTACCCAAACCCTAGGCTAACTCCTAACTCAAACTATATTCACTAGCCAAACATTCCACCAATCAGCATTCATTCATGGAATGGAATCAACTATCTGTGATTATTTCATTCAGATGTGTTATCAGTCCATTTGGACGTGCTCCCAGAATATCACTACTGGAACTACAGTTGTTTCATTTTTCCAGAATCTCAGTTTTCAGGTCTCAATATTTCATAATCTTTCTCGCTCTTTATCTTCAATTCTACTGTCTCCCAGGATTGAAATATATGTTATCCAAAAGTTTCTTTTTCTCAACTAAAATTAATGTATGCCATGTTATGTTCTAATTGTTCATCAGCTTGAATCTTAAAGTTCTCACCAGCTCTTTATTGATGGCTGCTACTGCTATTATCATTATCATTATTCCTACTACTACAAGGACTGCACGATGGTTTCAGATCAAGGCTGGGAGATTAATTGTATTATTCATGGGGGATGTATTTTTAAAATCCTCTACATGACCAGAAGGGAGCATTGTCTACTCAAATTTAATCACTCAAGTTATAAGCATACAAGGAGGAATGCTCTGATGTCTGGATAGAGTTTAGGTTAATGCCTAATTCCAGTGTTGAAATAATGCCATAAAATATCCCTTTTAAAAGTGATTCCCCAAATGCTAAAAATTCCCATTAGAAAAGCATTCTTTGCACTCTATTCATTATTTAGGGGACGAAACTTCCAATGATGTTTTCAATAACTGACTGACTTTCAATAACTGAACTGAACGTAAATGTGTAGGGTTCTTCTTGGAGCTGAAGTCAAAGTAACAGCCAGGTGTCTCTCCTCTGTTTATGGTATTTCCATACTGGTAAGAGAAATGGGTTTTTTATTGGTTTTGGTTTTTTGTGACTTTGGCAATAGGTGGATGGTGTTTCCCCCCTTTATTCCTGAAAAATAGCAATTTATGCAGGTTGCTGATGTGTGAGATCTTGTCTGAAATGTAACAGCATCTTCTTCTGAAGCAGTTAGCAGATGATATTGTTTATCTTCCTGTTGCAGAAAGCTGAATTCTCCTTCTAATTTCTGCTAAAGATACAAGAGCAAGCCATCCTTCCCCCCATGAGCTGGCAAATGGAAACCAATGTGGTATAGTGGTTAGATTGCTGGACTATAACTTGGGGAAGAAATGTTCTGATCCCACTGAGGCATGAACATCTCTTGGTGACTATGGGTAAGAGAAACATGCAGAAACGGGATTTTAAAATAAAATAAAATAAAATGAAAAACACCCGCAAAAGCAGGTTGTTTTTCAGACATATTTGTGTAAAGGAGAAACAACATGGCATTAACCCAAATGCAAAATCAGCAAAACCCACTCCTTTTTACTTTCAGAAGTTCCCGAAAGGAAAAAGGAGAAGGTTTTTTCAGCTTTTCATTCGGGTTATTTTTGCGTTATTTCTCTTTCATGCAAACATCATCTGAAAAACAATCCACAATTGTGGGTTTTGTCTACATTCTGTTCGGGTTAACCCTGAACATCATGTGAAAAACAACCTGCAAAAGTGGGTTGTTTTCACTTTAAATCTAGTTTATCGTCCTATGTGATAAACTCCTAAGAGGGAAGAGGTTGATCTTTGAGAAGAAAACATCTGTTTGTTCTACCATTGCATAATATTTGAGAGCCCTTTTGAATATATTTTGAATATAATTATTTTAATGTGAGATCATGTTGAGCACCCCCAATGACACCATGCTAAAAACACCTCCAGACTCTTCATCCTTATGCAGTAGCAGCAACAATTGCAAAAGGTGTTTGGGATTTTTTCCCAATATTAAAAGTACAACAATAATTATAATTACAAAAAAAAATATTCTAGGAGAGTAGCCATGGAGGGGGTAAAATGAAGGGGTTCCTCCCCCCCATAAAAACTCTACATTTCTCATGAAAGTTTTCCTTGGTCCCCAACTTTCTAGCATTCCAGGAAATGAGACATTTAAAATTGTTTGACATGCCTCAACTGCAACTGTTTTAAGCTTCAGCAATAATAGAAACTAAAGTAAATGCTTTTTGGATGAACAGACTTTTTATTGGGGGCAATGCCCTCATTTTGTCATCCTTTCCCCCATAGTTACACCCCTGCTTGGAATGTGTCAGATTATCTGATGCTAGCTCATTGATTCCTGGACTCTTGGATAGAATCTGAATCACTGATGGTCCAAAACCCGGATGATGATGAGGATGAGGATGCAGTTTACAAAATTAAAAGTAAAAGGTAAAAACATGTACTGATAAAATGTGCAAAAGAAAAAAAATCAAATGTGATTAAACAATCTATAAAATTAAAAACCATTTGAAACATCTCTATTAAAAGGAAAGGGGGAAAATAACATGGGTCATATATGGCCTCCCCTTGTATGTGTTCTACTGAATATGAAGATAGCAGGGCAAGTCTATCTGGAATGCACCCCCATTCCTTGTATCTTTTTACAGTATATCTATTTCTGGCCCTTGCTCCAAATGGGAGAAAGGAACTCATCCCACAGTAGAGGAATGAGGCCTCCCCACTCATCTCATGGTCCTTTTATGAATGTACCTGTTGAACAGACCGAGCCTCTATATACACTCATTCTATGTTCGTCGTGCAATGTCCAATTAACATGTGGAATTTATGGTCAGGACAAACTTAGTTCTGGAAGCCAGCATGGTGTAGTGGTTTGGGCACTGGATTATAACTCTGGAAACTAGGGTTCAGTTCCCAGTTCGGTCATGTACACCCCCTGTAATTATCTTGGGCAAGTAATACTCTCTCAGCCTCAGAGTATGACAATGGCAAACCCCCTCTGAAGAAACTTTCCAAGAAAACCCCATGATAGTGTTGCCATAAATCAGAAATTATGTGAATGCACACAATAACAACAACAACAACAACAACAAGTTTTTGAATGGGTGGACAGAACTATCATTCTGCCCCAACACTATATAGGTGAAATTTTGCATTTTTAAAAAGACCCATTCTGCTTTGTTCCACCTCTTCCAGAAAACCCTTCCTCTGCCATCCTGCATGAAAACTTAAGTAGTTTTTCAAAATAAAAAGTTAAAAGTGATAAAACAAAAGCAATATAATCTCTTCCCAAGGAGCAATATGTTCCTGTTTCTAGAACCTTTTCTTTATTTACTTGTCTTTCATTTGACAGATGTGTGTTCCAACCTCTTCATTGCTGGAATACACATATCATATTTGTTCATTTGTCTTTAATGTATCAAGGCTACTTTTCTCTTTATGTCTATCCCAATCTTTTGCTACTGCTTTGTGACTTAAGGTCAGCAAATGGAGCACAAACACAGTACTAAGCAGAGTGGAATTCCTACTACTCCAGCTGCCCCATGTTTATCTGTACAAACCATAGGAAGTTAATCATGCAGTTGTGAACTGACATAAGAAACATGATCAGTGAGTGAACAACAAGTTGCAAAACGCTGTCACCTCTTCCATGGTGATGAATTGTGATAAGAAACTCTTCTGAATATTTTTGAGCTTCTCCTGTCAGTGAATCGGGAAAGCAGATGCACTTACTGGAATATTTAGTTTCTGCTGACTGGAAGACTTTAGCAACAAGTGGGGTCAGCTTTTAAATATTTTCCCTGACTTCTCTAGCTTGCAGATCAGGCTGTTTGTTTCTTGATGCAAAAATTAAAACTTGTTTTCACCAGCACTCACCCTTTCCTTGATTTAAAAACAAATTAAACAGACATATTCATTAGACAGCTCAAGAATTTTTCTCTCTCTTAGTTTGTGAAATACATTGAGCATAATTTGGCAAGATGCTGGCTTGCCCATCCCAATGAATTCATGGGATTTAAATAATTGCCTATGTACAAAATTAGAAAGTTACTTTTTATTGCAACTCAAAGCCACCCACCCATTGAGGATATTGTCTTGTGGATTCTTGAAATGCTTATAAAAAAAGACTGAAACAACATGTAGGCATCTGACTAACATCTCCAATTGTTTTTCTCCTATTTGGTTTGTAACATCTTGCCTGATGAAGAAGCCCATGGAGTTTCAAAAGCTTGCAACAAGTATATTGTGCATTTTGGTTGGCCAATAAAGGTATCACTGATGGATTTTTGTTTGAATTTGCTAAATGGCTAACACAGCTATCCCTGAATGATTTTAATTAAAGAAAAACATTTCCTAAAGTTCTCCTTTTGCAAAAGGCTGCAACCATTTGCTACCATACAAAATAGTATAAAATATTTTAGACTGTAGTGGATAGGAACAAGTGAGGTTGCAAGATCTTAGATGTTACACCCGGCACCCAAGTGATTGTTATTGCTTTTGACATGAAAATCTCATCCTTCCTCCAATAAACTAAAGGAAACATACATTGTTTTCCTCCTTGACACTTTAACTCAGAACAACCCTGTGAGGATTATCAGGCAAAGAAAGAGTGACTTGCCCAGTCTAGCACTATAAGCATTTTACCACACTTCCCTTTAGATTTTGAGGGGCATCTTTTATTCTGGATGCAGCAGCCATATCTCCATCCACCTAGGACCATTGTTTATTCACAGCACTTTCCCCCTCCTCTAATTTAAGATAAGCATATGTTCTTTACAATGAATGTCTGTAAGGAGGACCTATTTTTCTTATTTCCCTATTGGAACATCTGTAGGGAGGATCTATTTTCTAATTTTCCTCTTAGAACATAAGTACAGAAACTAAGGAATGGAGAGTCTTTGATGGCTGGTTCCTATACTGTTCATCAGCAACCTTTTTTCTTGTCTTTAGTCAGGAAAAAAGGTTTTTATCTAAATAACTTTATAGGGGTGGGAAACTACCATGTGTTTCCAATTGGCTAACTATGAATTAGCTAGGAATGTGTTTCCACTTGGGAATAATAATAATAATAATAATAATAATAATAATAATAAATTTTATTTATAGCCCACCCCTCTGCACAGCAATCAAGGCGGGTTACAACATTTAAAACAAACCAAGTTAAAAACATTCCCTCCTCCCATTTCCTGGGAAACCAGGAAATACCTACCATGAAACTAGGGTGGCCATTTTTTCTACTTTTTGTAGCCCTGTCCTCTATCAGAAAGTGTCTTTGATTCAAAGGGATGTCCACTCCAAATCTTCTTTAAAGATACAGAGTTGTAAGAAGGGAAAGCAGGGGCCCTGAAGTTGTCCATCAGTAGTTATACTCTGGAGCAGACTGAGCAAGCATACTGAGCATGTGATCACAACATTCCTTGCTATACTGAAATGTCTTATATTCCTTTTAAAGTTAGACTAATTCTTTCCAAATGTGCATCACTATGTATAAATTGTGTGAGTGTGTGTATATACTTGTTGACCTATGGCAACCCCATGAATTTCATAGGGTTTTCTTTAGGAATATTCAGAGGTGGTTTTGCCAGTTCCTTTAGTCTACAACACCTGACATTCATTGGTGGTCTCTCATCCAAATATTAACCAGGGCCAACCTTGCTTAGCTTCCAAGATCATTTAGGCCATCCTATGTATAAATTAGTCTACACAAACTCCATGCAAATTGGAATCTTTTTTGTTGTTGTTGTCTTTTTGGTGAATTTTTTCCTATTTCTTAATAACTTGATGGTGGTCACTCTCTCCCAATGACATTTCCAATGGGTTTGAGAGATTTATAGTTGAATAGGTCCATGCTTTGAGGCTTTCCAGCCTCTTGGGAATTCCCACTCACCATCCATATGAATGACTATGGAACTAATTTTTTTGCTTTTAAACAGCTTAAAATAAAACAAAACACACCCATCTCATTCCATATACACAAACTAGTTAGACTGGAAGCTGAATCACACTTCAACACTGTCAACTACATAACATTCTCAATTACACCAGAAGGCAGTAGTGGAATTTAGGCATATACAACTTCATCCTCCATGACAAGAGAATGATCAAGGGTTCAAGAGGTATTTGCCACTGCTGCCTCCAGCATCTGCGACCTGAAGCAATTGCCTCATTCTACCTAATGTTTAGTATTGATACTGCTCTTTGCTCTGCAAATCAGTGTTTGGAAATGTTATTTTGATGGATTACAACTTCCAGAATCCCCATCCAGCATAGCTGCTGGAATTGTGGAAGTTGCATTCTCCCCACTCCCCAGTAACTTTTGAAAGATCTACTTCAATTCAAGATTTTTACCTTTTATTTCTTAAAATGAATCCCTGTCTTCTAACCTCAAAAGCACAAGACGGGAAAGCACAGTTCTCTCACCTCATCACTCCTTCCCTTTTACAAAGTGCAGGTCTGTACTTCAACTGTACCCTGGAGCCTTTTAATCAAGCAAAGTAAAGGAGGAAGGTCAGGTTGCTGAACTAGTGATTTCCTCAACAATCCAAGACTTACAATTGATATCCTTCCAGCGCGAGAACGTCTAACAAAACATAATCCTGATCCTAGAAGGTCATAATAAAAATAAACCCAACAAGTATTTAGCTGACATAATCCAGTGTCACTTTTAATTTATATTTCTTCAGGGGAAGAAATGCTAAGTAGGCTATATTCAACTCAAGTAGAAGCCTAAAGAAGCTTTAAGCATGAATTGAGACAAGGGAATTATTAGGACACTTAAAATATTTACACATTATTCCTCAGCTGCAGGCATGTTCTTTTCTTTTCTTTGGCATGTGAATAGTGTCACTGGATTCAAACATTTGGATGTAAAACTCCTTTTCAGCCTTGCTGGTGGAGTCCTTCCTGTTCATTTTATTGACCAATTTGCTTTCCAGGTTGCCCTATCTCATTTGGTCCAGAGCAGATAACAATAAAAATGCAGAACACAGTAAAACTGCATATAAAGTATACAGCTGACATGACTCTACTCCTCCCACCAGCCAGAAAATGCTTGTAAATAATCTGCTAAGTTTTCTCTTCTGCTAAAAGCATAATTCATTTCAACTGGGTTTGCTCAGGGTCCCATTACAATGAGTGAATTTTGGCGTCTTGGCCAGGCTTAATGCTTTGTGCCCATGATCCCTCTTTTTAAAATGCCTCCTACGAGCTTAATCTGTTTGTAGAAATAGGTTTTCAGGTTCTGTTGCTCTTCTGAATACAAGTCCCCATCCAATGGCACCTGGTGGCTTCAACCTCAGTGAGACAGTCAATCCATTCTAGGTTTGAGCCAAATTTTTTAAGTGAGCTCTCCAAAATTCTTAACCCTGTTCCTGAATTATTTTCAGCACTTGGATACATCCGTTAAAATTTAGATTGAACCCCATAGCAGGTTCACTGCTTCCTTGACATTGGAAACATCCACTGCCACTGATCATGTCTATCAACATTATCAACATCAAACTGACCCATACATTATGCCAGGGGGTTGGTATTTCAACCTCCAGGTGCTTGTACTTTCAGAGTTTAGGTGGGTAGGAAATTGGTCACAGGGCCTTTTTGGTGGTGGCACTATAGTTGTTGAAAGGCATCCCCAGAGACACTCATTTGGCACTTATGTTATTACCTAATTGGTAATAGCTAAAGATTTTTTTTTCTGCCTGAGCTTTCCCTCCCCCCCGATTTTATTGTATATAAAATAAAAATACAGCGAATTATCATCAAACAGAAATTTTAACACATATATACCCACAAAATATTATCTAACCTTGCTCATATATCTTCCCTACTTCCAGTATTATTCTAAATCAATATCAATATTTATAAATCACAGCTTCAGAGTCCTTTTCAAAAATCCTTTATAACTTTCTGCCACTTATTTTCATATT